AGTGTAATAATCGGATGAACAACAGTGTGAATAATTATTACACATCTGTGTTTATTTTAAAATCTACATAGCGTTTCTATAAATATAAAGTTCAGTGGCCTCTCTGTTTCACTTGTGTTGCCTACACTGGGGAGAAAACTGGTGAAGTTTTCAAGAAGTGTTCTCATCACGTGTGGAAACTTTTTCTCTGCAGGGTATCGTATCTCAGTAAATCCCTGGAGTTAATGACCGCTGTGCCTCAGAGGGCGGCTGTGTTTTTCACCAGATGTTAGATTTTTGGAATTCCCCAGATTCTAATGTTCACCAAAACACACTTTTTTTCCAGCTCTGGTCCCAGACAACATGTATCTCATTAGCTCTGGTCACTGATCGAGTGTGACAGACATGAAACCTGACCCATGCTGCAGACCTCCACCACACTTTCCATTTTCCCTCCGTTTGACTTGAAAAACGACTTTCTGCATTTGTGATTATTTTTCTTCTTTGTGCCAGTGCTTTGGAAAAATCCTGTTTTTGTTATTCTACGCTTCAGTCACGGCTGGTACCTTTTGTTCTCTTTCATCCTGATGTATCGAAATCTGACACAGATGAGTGACTTTTAAATTTAGTAGTAACAAAGAGAAACTTTACTTCGTCTTTGTTTCAATTCTTAAACAGTGGGTCACAACCCAAAACTGGGTCAAAGGTTTGTACTTTTGAAATGTTTGTTGAAGTTGAAGTGTAATTCTAGTTCAGTTCAGTTAAATTGGGGAATAATTTAACACATGTTATGGTGATTTCAGATTGAAGGTAGAAATGTTAAAATATCACCTGTAGGATACACGGGTATGACACAAACGTAGTATTGTAGTACACAGTAACCAGATACCTGAGCCAGCTGATGAGACCTGTAACCAGTAAAACTACTGCTGTACTTGTTGCAAGACAAAACTGACACTCGTTACACACACACACACACACACCTACACCTACAACCACAGGCCGGTATCACACATGCACATGGACACACTATAAGACAGTAATAGCGCAGCCAACTGGCCCTTGAGTGCCACTAGGAATGGACCACAAAGTAGGAGCTACTTTTTCTGCTTTCCCTATGCCTTTGCCCCCTCAGCACTGACAGCTGCTTCCTAACGAAGCCCACTCTCTTCCAAGCAGACCCACTGGTAATGAGGCTCTGGCCAGAACCACAGGCAACCAGGGAGCCATGTTAACAGCTCAGAGCTGACCTCCTAAACGGACCAGCTTCCTATCATTCACTGAGAGAGCAAAAAGCTGCACCTTATTGTTTGGGTGAAGAGCAGATCCTGGCTTCGGGGAATTGCCCCATGTCCAATACTCACACTGAGCTGAAACGGGCTTCATGTGCATAGTGCATAAAAAAAAAAAGTGCACACACTAGCAGTGGCACATATGCAAACTGGCATACACACAAGTCAGCCAAAAATGCCAGTGATAAATCTATGTCACCCCAAAAGAATTTTAACGGCAGTGAGTTTTTCCACAGTTTTTAGTAAATGCTTGCTGTTGCAAAAATACTGATAGAATTAAATCATACTGCACTGATCACAGAGTAACTGATACATTTATTCTTCAGAATAAATGTAGAGGCAAATATGTCACACATCATTTTTCTTCCTGAGCGTAAATGCATCATCATTGGCCTGAACCACCGTCCAAATGTATCTTTAACTGGAGAGAATGCTGTGAAACACCAGTCTGCATCCTACGGCTTTAACAACAACCCTACATTAATCACAACAGATTAGCCCGGCAATTATTAACATACAGCCTTTGTAATGAATCTGTAGGTAAACTAATCCTTACCAGTGTACACACAGTAAAACTGGAAGCAAAACTACAGACGCAGAAAAACAGGGGGGGAAAAAAAGCAAATATGAATTTTGACCCAAGGCTGTGGTGAAATTAATTTCTCAGCCAGACTTTTAGCCGTTTATATGGAATTCATTGACACATGCAGTAAAAGAAAACATGGAATCACTAATTTACAAGTCAGTATCTACCAACAACAAAGCCACAGCTGCTGAAGTTTTTCCAGCGTCTATCGTTAAAAAAGGAACAAAACAAAGGTTTTGCCCATTAAATCCTCACATTTTCCAAGCAGGAAAACAAAACAGCTCAAGTTATTATTTTTTTCCAATTTATTTTTAGTTACACCAACAGCTGCAAACAGCTTAACAACCAAGCCCAAAGCATTTCATCTGCAGAAAAAAAAAATCACATGTCCACAACCACATTAATAGTTCAGTCATACCACCAACATAAAAATGAGCCCAGCGGTCAGAGCAGCCAATCAGAGCAGCCGATCACACTACTGAAGATGTGGGGTTCGGTCCACCACCATAGAAGCACAACAACAGCCAGTACTGAAGAAAATGATCAAATATGATTGACTCACGTCTAATGCAGATGGATGCCTCCAGTAGTTCCATTAACAGACGGACTGGTGAAGGTGTCCTTCTCTCTGCCAGCTGCTTTGGTTTTAAAGCCTTCAGGATCAGAAAACAGAAATGTTTATTTAGACAATGTGTATTTCCAAAATTAACTGACATAGTATTTGCATTTTTTTATTTTTCATTTTCCGAGTATCCCTATGATGGAGGAAGCAAAAGCAACTTCCTGTAATGAGCACACTACAAAGTGTTTCAAGAGCGGAAGAAAAAAGGTTTCCCTCACACCTTTGGTCTAAGTATCAAAGACACCAAATACTTTTCCTTGGTCTAAGTAGTCAATAAAGCTGACCTTGACCTTGACCGTAAGTATCAAAGACACCAAATACTTTTCCCCACTGTTATATTCCACTTTGCTGTTTCTGTCTGACCCTTGGCCACTTTCCTCAAACGGCCTCTACTTCCGATTAACAATGATTGGAAGTCTGGCTGGCCACTTCCTGTGTGGAACATTAGGACTTCTGCAGTGCAGATGGCAACACATACTCTGAGAAGATTAGAGCACTAAATACAGTTGTCTCAGATGTAAGTCAAACAGTGTTGAGACCACTTGAATAAGTGATAAATCCCTCCGGAATGTTACACTAGCAGATGTGACAGGTTGAATTATTCCCACTTTACCCGGAAGCTTTGCAGGATTCCTGAAACATACGGAGTGGAACGTGTCCGTCTTAGCCCATAAATGTTGGGGGAGAAGGGAACGGCCGCCGATATCAGGATAACGATGCCAAGATGTTCTGTTTCTGTTCCTCTGTATTTCTCAGAAAGAGCTAGCAGTCAGCTGTTGTTAGCTACTATAATTCAATCAATAAAATCGTCTTTACATTCAAAGACACTTTTGTCAAGATCCACAGAGATACTGTACTGATCCGATTATCTCCTGGACCGGCTGCAGCCCAGCCCCACAGTGGAATATCTTAAAGTCTTCATTGTCTTCTTTTGTCCCTGAAATCATTTTAAAATATGTCTAAATATGGAACATAATTAAATCTGTGCCACATGCAGTAAGTCGCCCGGAGCTGCGTGTACCTGAGAGAGTATAATATATACCAGAGATCTGGGACACCGTGAATCTGACGGCCGTGATGTTGGTCAATCTCTGTACGAAGAGGTGAGGCCTGATATACTGTGTGTTTGTGGTGATACTTTTGGAGACGGTGGACAATTGGAGAGGTTGAAAGTGACATACAGTCAAATGTCCATACATACAGCAGCATATTTATCCCAGGAGAAGAAGAGCAGTCGGCAGGCACTAAATCCTGCTGTAGGAAAAAGAACTGCCCTGCTGTAAAATGAGCACAATTGTGTCTTATATGCAAGTGGCTTATTACGACAGCAGTCCTATTTTATTATCAGCCAAAGCCATGTAGCCGTAGTATTTCCAGATGTGCTTCAATGGTTTGGATCACATCGACTACATCTACTGCACACTGGATGTTCATTTTAGGGGACTTGTTCAGTAATGGCTCAGGCTAACAAGGTGGTCAAGTGATACTTGGCAGATTTCCTCCTGTAGCTTCATTTAACAATAAGAGAATTGTGCTGCTCTATCCTATAATCCTGGAACACACTGCTCTGTCATCTCATATATTCAGTGACTTTCTGAAGAGCTCACATCACGCCAGTGCTTGTTTACTGTCTTATAGCATTGGTTACAAATTAACTGTGACATTTCTGGGTAAATAAATAAATAAATAAATAAATAAATAAACATGTTTGACATCAACAAGGCACCTTTCCTTTTCCTATATTTTCTAGTTTAGATGAGAAATTTATTTGAGATAACATCATCATCCTGTGTCTAGTGATAAATAAAGATGCAGCCTCTGAATTCAGGAAACTTCTCATAAACACACACACACACACACACACACACACACACACACACTACAAATCCTGCCAGTCTGGAAAGAAGAAGAAGGAAGAGGAGAAGAAGGAGAAGTTCCCTTCACCTGGTCAGATGAGGACAGTGGAGGTGGTCGTTTGTGAAAATGGAGAATCTGGATTATGAAAGAAAAAGTGACAACAGATGTGGTCTGGGGTGTGTGGTGTGGTGTGTATCTTTGTTCTAGGCCAACAGGAGATGTGGCCCACAGTCTGGATACATCTAAACCCCAGATATAGTAGAGGTTCAGCCCTCGTCCTAATCTGAGACAGCTTTATTTTCTAAGGCTGACATTGTCATGTCAGCCTTCGACCAATCCCAGCGTTGGTCAGGCGAGGGATCCGTTTTAACGAAGAGTATTTTAATTTAGTTAGATATTTAGTTAAAACAGAGAAGAGCCAGGTATCACATCAGCAGCATATGGCTCTGTGCATTTCTACTGACAAACGCTACATATTTCCACAATATTACAGCTGAAAATTAAAGTGGAAGCTCTACTAGTTCTTTAAAAAAAGAAAAAGAAAACAGATTATTTTTTAACTGCCTTGGCTCTGTGATGGCCCACTGTTGGCAGCGGGAAACAGAGAAAAGCAGTCCAAAAAGACTGCTGAATATGAATGATCCAAAAACAAAAATACTGCAGGAAGAATCATTTGGATTGAGCAGGTGTATTTGAAAAAAAAGAGGCTTTTTTTGTTTGTTTGTTTTGACAGATTGCAGTATGTTTTCAAACTTTAGGGAAGTCAGTGAAATATATGGAGAAAATAGCTAAATATATACCTCGTTATATGGCATGTATTCTGAAATGGCAGAGGTGAAGATGTGGAGAAGCAGAAACATGTCAGGCACAAACATGAAAGATTATGGAGCCATGAACAGAAGGTGTTAATCCAAATGTTGGTTATAGCACCACCACAGGGCGACAGTGTGAACATTGAACATCCACAGGATGTAAAGAAGAAACAAATATCAAATGAAAAACTGAGTCAGGGTTGTGTGTAGGAGACCAATCAGGATGGAGCCATCCTTCACTTTCATTTGACTTAGTGAAGGGAGTTACTGCCGTATGGAACACAAACCACGGACCTGCCCATAACTCACTACATCCTCCCTCCTGATGGGGGGAGGCGGGAGCGCTGCGAGCCCTGCAGGCTGTAAATGCTCACCAAACAAATCATGGCAACACATCCACAGGCTGTGCGGAGTAAATTGTTGTATTAACCCCCAGGCAAGGGTCCCCCTTGACAAATCAATAAGCAGAGACACATTCCTGCACATCATAACAGAAATCCAAGGATTTGACAAACCACAGAGCACAGCAGAGCCAAGCAGGGAAGGCTGTCGGTGTTTTGGGTCAGTATGTTAATCGTTTTCTCTTTCAGGACATTTATCATTTACGGCTTCTTCTGCTACAGTCATGCTACATTTTTCTAAAGAGAAGAGAGGTAAATTATCGCCACCGTTTCCTATGAGTCACGTCGGCGTGGCAATTTGTAAATGGGATTCTTCACCCTGAAAAACAGGGATAAATCTGGTTCATTAGTTTTCATTTGGGTTCAGAGGAATTGTTAAGTTCGAAGTCAAACAGTTTCCAGCCTTTGACCTAAATAATAATTAGTGTGGAAAAAAGTTGTTTTTTTTTAACAAAATCTATTAAAATCACATTTAGACTGTCGTCTCTTATTAAACCTGACAGATTGTTTGAACTGAGAGACTTTTTTAATGTCTTTTCCATTTCCATCTAGATAATCCTAGATATTGCTCCAGGCACAGTGGAGTCTGACTGTGTGACTCAGACCTTCACAAAAAATGTCATGGGTCGGTGGTAAAGGACACTGCCTGGAAACAAATGCCATTATTTCGCTGTACCGTAAACTCCAGATTAGATTAGCTCTGGCTCAAATTCATCTGAAGTCATATGTGATCTGCAAGTCACGTCTTCCTGCCAACATCAGTTCAGCCTGTCTCCACTGCCAGTCTGAGAATAAAGACAGAGAGGAATCAGTCAAGATCATGCCACAGATCAGTGTGTGGAAAAACTACACTTTATATCCACAGATACACGATCAAATTTGGCAAATCATGAGTACTCTGACAAATTACTCTTGAACTGAATCACATGATGCAAAAAAAAAAAAAAAAAAAAGCCCGACAGCAGAGGATACATCAGCACCGTTGCACACAGTTCCTGCCATAATTGATATTTGAGCCTGGCATCATTTACATAACAGGATGCAATTAAATATTCAGAAATCTGTAAAGTACTTCATAATGGGCTTAAGGTCAGAGTTTTCTCTTGCAACCAAATGGGGTTATTTTGTAAACATGTAATGGGAAGAATAAACAGGCTGAAGACAATATTTGTTTTGTTACGGGCAAATAAACAGAGGCTGCACACGGAGAAGTAGAGCCTGGCTCCAGGAGTAGATGTTTTCATTGGCCTACAAAACACTCAGCCTTGATTTCTACTCCCAGAGTGTGTATAAATAAAAAGCACCTTCTTGTTATGCTGATGATATTTTTAGACAGCTGTAACAACCTCGTTTCCAATACTGCAGCATTTTCCAGGTGACTAACTGCGTCCTTTTAGTTTTAAATTGCACACATACAGTGTTTTCTCTGGACTCCAAAAAAAAAAGTTTAGTTTGGTATTTGGATAACAACCAACCAAATTATATATCAGTGCATAGAGTATTTTACAGCTATATAGTAAAAACATTTAAAAACCCTTCAGTTGTTTCCAAATTGGGGGGCGGGTCCCCCAGAGGACGAGAAGCTTTTTAAAAGGGGAGGGAGAGGCAGGAATACAAATTAATTTTGTTTAGTTTGTTTTTTCTATCGTTCAAAAGTGGGAAATGCAATGATTTATACAGTTTTTATACACTTTTTTAAATGTGTTTATTTATTTAATTCATCTTTTTTTTCATTTTTCAAGCAAAACCTGTGAATGAAATCTATGTAACAGGGTAGGATCGATAACTGATCTACCTACAGAGTTGAGGGTCTGCAGAAAACAGCTAACCTGTTTAACATTATCACACCAACAAAAATCATTCAAAAAAAAAAAAGCAGTGCTTATGTTTGTTATTAAATTTGATCATAAATAACATTTGTTAAGCTTGGGCTTTTTACTTTTTCAATAAAGTAAAGGTTTGGCAGTGGCTGTACGTTGGAGCACTGAGCCATTTTTGATCATTTTCCTCGACCTTCAATCCTTCATTGTATGGCCTTAACACTGATCCCTAAACCGCCTCTTGAGAGCAAAGGCAACAGCAGCAAAATCCATCTGGTTTGGACGGATGTGGTCAGACATCAGAAGAGTGAAAGTGTGTCTTGTCAAACCAAACAAACAGACAATTTTTCCAGGTGCTGATGTATCTCCCCTCCGTGTCCCCCCTTTTCTCCCTTTTGTTATTGAGAACCTCTTCCCCTCTTATAGACATGGCCTGACAGGAAATCTTTGAGAGAGAGCCCTGTGCTAACTGCCCAGAGATTTCAGCTGTCTGTTCCTGGTAGAGCAGGAGCTGAACGCTGGCCTCCTATTAGTCCAAACACACGGAGCCCCCAATACTCCCTCTCCCTCTCCCTCTCCCTCTCTGTCTTTATTGCTCCCCCTCTCTCTATCCATCTATCATTTCTTCTCTCTTTTCTTCTCTCACCCCTCATCCCAGGCCTGGCTGACAGCTCACATCGTCCCAGCCTGTCAGAGAGGGGCTGTTTTTCTGCTCTCTCCCTCTGGGACGGGGGAGTGAGTACACACATACACACCTCCACGGACGTGCACGGTCACAGAACATGCTTTCACAAAGGCCTCGTACACACGTACACAACAGACACCCACGCACGCCGTCTTCCTCCCACACGGACGCAAATATTTTTCCTCTGCCCACGGAAGAGACACACGTATAAAAAACATATATATTTTGACTGCTTTTGGAGAATGTTCTGCCTGTTGTCAGCGATTCTGGGAAATATGCTGAGGTTTTGCATGCACTAATCAGGATCAAGAGTATTATCCACACAGACAGTCATTTACTGAGCTCCTGCTTCTCCACGGCACACCACCGACACAAACGTCTGTCGACACGGACTCCTCTTGTCAATCCACGTGATTGGCTAAAATGTACCAGTCGTTAGTAACAATTTAATAACGTTTGGCGAAACGGAGGACCTGACAGGTGGCCAATCAGAAGGTTTGAAATTATTCCACAGAGATGTTGAATGCTAGCTTGCAAATGAACCTGCAGGTGGCTCCACAGCTGTAGTCCCTGGTCCATCAATGATAAACTGAAGACAAGAAGCTCGGCTCAATGTTCTGTCTGCATTCTCATCCCAACCGTAAAGGAAACGATTTTTATTTTGAGAAAATGGGAATAGAATCCACACATTGTCATAAAAAAACAAAACTATTTACATAAATAAATAAATAACTGTGCTTTAAATAAAGATTTAATTAGATAAATAAAGAGAAATATATTTGATTGCATTGTCATCACACACCTAAACCAATCACCTTATAGCAGTGGCTCCCAACCTTATTTGGCTTCTGACGCCAACTCAATTTACATCACAAATTTCTGGTGACCCCACAGACGTTATTGACATGTGATCACATCTGTCAATCAATCAAGATCATTTTTATATGCTTCATTTTAATTAACCTCGATTTACAGTAATGAAAGTGAAGGAATAAACAGTTGTTCATGACTTTCATGCCTGGTGTTTTTAATCCTAATGTAAAGGAGACCGAATTTGAATTTCAGGTGACCCCATGTGGAGTCACGACACCAAGGTTTTTTGTAAAGGTTTATTATTATTCTTCTGTTCTGATGCAGAGGGACACTGAGTGCATGGTAAAGAATATTGTGATAAACACAAGCCCACAGCCAAGTAGTTGCTGCAAAGTAATCCCTGTTCAACTCCAAGGAATGAGTAATTATTGCAGCTGATCACATGTGATGCCCTCGGGGATCTTTGGAGTTTTTCATGCTCTGTAAACCTTTGAAAACCATCACAGGCTGGAGGCTTTTATTACTTGATTAGCCACACAAAACTCTAATGCCCATTCAGACCCACAATTCCAATCCACTGCAATAGTTGCCAGACACTTGTTAGTTTGCACAACCTTCACTATTTCAAACCCATTAGTGTGAAATAAAAACAAATCAAGGGCGAAAACAAAGTTTTCCAAAATGCCAACTTAGCATGAACATTGTTCCCTTTCCTCCCGTGAGGCCTCTTTGTGAATAATGTCCCCTAAATCTGAGTAATCACAGTAGTAATGCTTCTCCTAAAGAGACTTTACTGTCTGCTAAATAAGGAGCTCTCTTAATTTCTTTTCTCGACGCTGACTTAATTGCATTAAGAATTAATGGTGCATTTTCACGACCAAGCTCAACTTCAGACGCCAGTGTCTCTGTTCTCTCAGCCAGGCCCAGTGCCACACAGCAGGGCCCGAAGAGCCTGTTGAGCACCATTCTGTTTCACTCCTGCTCCAGGCTGAAAAACTTTATGTTATACATATGCATGAAAATATCCCTCATATTTACCCAAAGGCAGCAGAAGCTCACCATTAGTTCCTCTCAGAAGTCCTCTGCGGCACAGGCTGCAGAACCAACACGCAGAATTATTTCAGCAAAATCCCAGAGGAGATTTATGATGATGCACATTATCGATCACTTAAGGAGATATTTAGGTATTCAGAATAAAAAGTTATGTTCTCATTATGGTGATGGTGTGAGGCGCCAGGCCAAAGGAAGAGGGGGAAGTCAGTGCACACTTTAGCGGGGAGGTAATTAGCACGTCTGAGTAACAGCACTGCTCCCCTCTCTGCTCTCCTGCTGCTGACACCGGGCTGACTTGGCTGAGCGTCTGCACAAATTGTTAGTGTCGCCCCACAGGTGGGAAACTAGCTCTCATCACCTCATCACCCCAGAGGATGTGAGACACAGCAACATATATTAAACCGCGATCCTCACAGCATGCGGCCAGTGTCTTGATGAGATATTTTACTCTTTATGGAGCCCATGGGGGACACACAAATCCAATACAGCTTCTTTCTAGACGGGCACAGGCAAAGACATGCATACAAATATTTGGGATTTTTTTTAGATCCTGCCAAAGGCAAAAAAAGTGACAAACTATTGGAGTGCTTTGGGCAAATGCATCAGCGATGACGCTGCCACGGGCTCTAAGACATTAGGAAAAGAACGGAGCTACCTAATGTGATGGTTAAAAAAAAAAAAAAAACTTGACGCTGAGAGAAAAAAAATAAAAAATAAATTCTCAAACAATATTTAACACTGACTGTTGACACTGGTGGGAAAAAAACAATTTATGTCCATGTTATTTCATATCAAACATGACAACTTTATATTTCCTAAAGTATAAGAAAATATCAAAAACTCCTGAAAAGTTTCTCCTCACACATTTGACATCTGCCACCACAAACTTCGGCTTAAATTTTTCTCTCTTTCCAAGTTTTCTTCACGGCTAAAAAGGACGCTAAGAAAAAAAACAGAAAAACTTGCGCAACACTTTCAAAAGCTGTTAATGTTTCATCCTATAATTCACAGCCCGGGACTTGAGAGTACGTCTTTGTGGGAAAGCTTCGGCTGGACTTGGTGGAACCAGCATCATTAGTGCCTCTATCCCTAGGGTTGCATGTGTGGAAATTACTGCCCCAATCAATAGGCAAAGCCCAAGTGTTGAAATATTTATCCAGACGCAGCTTCATCCTTGCGGTGGACTGTCTGAGCACTCTTCCTGCACCTTAAAGGGTTATTCAGAAAGCCATGTATGGGCAGGAGTACACCTGGAAATCAATGGGGTGCCACTCACCAGCTGAGTGCTGAGTGCTACCAGAGTCCATTAATTCATCATCGATACACCGGACGAGAACGGCGTAGGAAGCGGAAATCCCCACAAGGTGTGCTCAAAATAGTGTCACGAAAACTGACTGATTTCTAGGTTTGATGC